AAATTAGGATTTCTTCGCTAAAATCAGGTTAGTTTCTTATCGTATAGAAACATAAGGAAAATCTCCAAGGCACAGTAGAAATGGACTTTTCTACTAATTAATTCAGAGGAAAACCTTTCTTTGAATGAACACACATATCCTTCAGGTCATTGTGTATATTATTGCTGTCTTGTATATTATCTGTTGTATTGTAGTTCACGTTTCAAAAAGTTGAAATCGCAAAAATACATAGCCAAAGTAATCCATATGAATTGCGTGGTTTCCTCCAAGTGCCCTCAAAGAGACATGATCGGCGACCGCTCTATATAATACTGTTTAAATTTAGACTTATACTCACATTCAAGAGACATTTGCACGCACATCATATTTTATATACCAAGCTCTCTGGGGTGAGCTCATTATCATACGAACCAATCAGAGCCGTTCAATGGCTCTGGAAACCAAGCAGGTTTAGTCAATGCTGTTTGCTTGAGTTTGCTGTTTGAATTTAAACACAAGTAAACAAAAAGTTTTTTTTTTTTTTTCATATATGATGTTGAAATCCTTGTGGGAATTTCAGAAATATATATTATAAAATAAAGGCGTCAAGCTTGAACAAATTTATAAACACCTAGCTTATTACAATTAATGTATCATGTAATGAACAACAGCCTAATCAACCAAAGTAGCATAACCTTTTAAGTAAAACTGAACAACATATTAAACAACATATTTTAAATATCGCAATGCTTAATAATAGTTGACAAATGTTTGTACATTGTAAATGTTAAAAATGTTTTTCAAAATATTGTACTTTTCCAAATATTAAAATGACAAATACATATATATTTAAAATATAACCATGTGTACACTGCAAAAACTGAAAACTAAGAAAGTAAAAAAAACTTATTTCTAGAAAATGCGTCTTGTTTTTTGCCATTAAAGATAAATAGTCTTATTGGATGAGACAGTAATTGTTCTAAACTCTTTATCAGTGGTATATAATGGAAACATTTGTTTTTTATGCAGAGGTCTCTTCTTTTTTCTCTTTTTTGACAGCATACTGCTAATCCAACTGGAACTTCTTCTGCTTCGACAAAACTGAATTTCTCTTTTATGACACTGTCTTGCCTGTATGTTGTTGAAACAGCAGCAAATGGATCTTCAAAGCAGTCAAAGATTCCCAAAGCTTCTTGTTGAATCTCACTTTCTGAATGTCTGTTGAACACTGTTTGTAGCTGACTCCTCAAGCTGTTCAGTAACTGAGCTTGATACTCCTGAACCGCTGACACAACGTCATTCACTCCACTCTGAGGAAAAAAACAAACAAAAAAATTAATTTGCAGGGAGATACACTGAAAATTACATAATTAAATAAGAACAAATCAATATGTGTCATTGTGTGTATAGATATTTTTTTTAAACCACCTGTCATAAAGACAAAAATAAATATTTTAGGAATCGGTAAAAAAAACAAAAACTGTCATTTCTTAGGCAAACAACAAGCTGAAACAACTAAAATATTCTTTACAAAATATTAAGTTATTTGGTTATGTGTGAAAGAATATTTTGTATGACCGCCTTTCGCCTTGATAACAGCTTGCATCCTTGCTAGCATTGATTGTATGTACTTTTATGTAATTGGGCATCTGAATAAAAGCAAAAATAAAATACTGTAAAAAAAGTACTTTACTATCGTTCTGCCTTTCTTGTAAACAAATAGTAAATTCAAAAGTTAATGGATAACAATTATATGTTAGCATTCGAAATACTACTGTGACTAAAGTGCTTACACATACTGGTGGATTAGCCATTACAGAAACATAAAAATGTATTTTGGTAATCACAAATACAGTTAGTTTAGGGCATCTGTGGCACAAACCTTACATTAGGTGGTTGTCTAATAAATTCAAGCACTGTGCATGCGTGTGTGTGTTCATACATAAACAACATTAACAGAACATTGTAAGATTTGTATTTATTGATACCAACCTGTGAGAGATGATGTTTCTCTCTAGCAGTCATCACAACAGCAGCCGCATGTCTGGACAGCACATCATCACTTGATAATGCATCATTCTACACACGAAAAAAAAATCTTAACTGTATAATAATTGCATTATATAAAAGACTGTGAAATGATAGTAACAATATAACATCAAAGTTTCTCATTTACCGTTGTTTGTTTGGGGGGGCTTGAAGAACGCGAGTCATCCGAAGGCCTGTTTGGAATGAGTAGAGTGGGATTGGAATCTGAAGTTCCATTCAGCACATCCTGTATTTCCAGGTTCTGAGGCGA